GATCACTTTCAATCCATTTTTCCGTACAACTCTGAGTATACAGCACGCTAGCACAGAAATCCTGCGCTATCCCTGTAAGCACAGAAGTAATCCTCTCTGTTAAGGCCTTTTTCAAAAGCCGTAATTTCTAAGTGTCATGCAAAAATGTCGGTTGTAGTGTTGGCAATTCCCATGAAAATAATGAGTGGCTAAGGCCAAAAAAAAAAGTCTCCGGTTTCTGGTATGGAGCTTGTCCGAAAAGTGGTGCGGCGACGCGGCTTTTTTTTTTTTTTTTACCCGACATTTTTGCTTCAAATGTCGGCTGATGACTGCAAATGGTGCCCGACTAAACTTAGTGCAAATATATGGGAGTCCAGAGAGGCCACATAAAGCTTATTCTCGATCATAACCCCATCTAAAAACACGTTGAAATTGCGCAGCAGCAGAATTCCACTCAAACCAGTGAGTTTGGCGGTTTTGAGACGTCATCTTTCACTGAAAAAAAAACTTTTCCATTTTGCCGACGCGCATGGCTACGGCGACGCGCGCGCATACCAGAAACCGGAGACTTTTTTTTTTTTGGCCTAATCTAAGGGCACTTACTTCACAATTACGCAAACCTATACTCACTATAGCAGAAACTAGCAGACTAGTGTGAAATCCTAAACAGGGGTGGATCTAGCTTTAGCTGGGGGGGGGGGGGGGGGGCGGGTGCGATGTCAGTTATGGGTGTCAGTTATGGGTCCTTCAAATTTCAAAATCCTTTTTCCTCATTAACAAAGTAAGCCCCCTAGCATGCATTATAACTAATTCGTCCTTTGTCATGATATTTAATACTTGATGAATTTTATAAAAATAAAACAATTTAAAAAAACTGGAAAAAAAACAATATATCCTCCTAGCCAAAATGCTTAATATCCTCTTTAATTCCTTTCAAAAAATATCCTCCTAGCCAAGATGGTTTGTCTTCTCCATAATTCCCTTCTGAAAATTATCCTCCCAGGCAAGATAGTTAGTCTGATCTCCTCCATAGTTCCCTTCTAAAAAAAAATACCCTCCTAACAAAGATGGTTTATCTACTCCATAATAAAAATATCCTTATTACCAATATGGTCGTCTTCTCAGTTATTTCCTTAAAAAAAGTCTGGGTCTTGCGCGTAACTTTGTACACACCTGTCCCAAGTTCTTTCCACTGACTATCCCTATTGCCGAGTATGATATATGTCTATATCTTTTATAAACAGTCGTCATGCTCATTCAAAGGCATATTCATAGAAAGGTGGAAATCTCCTTGCTGCCACGGTGTCAGATTTAACGTTTGGTATACCGTGAGGTATATCTAGGTTGTGTTAACTTAATGCTTTACTGCGATCTTAACGATAACCAAGTTAACGATCATTAAATAACAATTGACTGTTTTTTCTTTTTCTGAAGGCTGGTACAAGGACAAGATTGTGCCCAAGATGGAGTTCTGTGCTGTTGGTTCTAGGCCGGGGGATGAGCCACGTAGAGCCCACATCCTGGCGTTCTTTATCACAGCTGCCTGCATAGCCATTGGTAAGTCAACACAATCTTCCTTCTCGCGATATTTGCAGAGTCGCATAACTTTCAATTTAGGATCACCAGATAATCAATGATAAATGAACGTAGCTCGTCTACAGAAGCATGTTCACTTAACCATTATCCAAATGATTAAAAAAAGCACTAAGCATAATGCAATGAAGTCATTAGTCCCTGCCCCTCAAAGTGCCCTGCCTGTTACTCCTTATACCGCCCCAAACCGCCCAGCACTCTATGGTTGTATGGATTCATCCAGGAATAAATACAGTGTTGTACAATGGAATACAGAATTCTACCAAATATGACACTCATTCTTTAGAAACTGAACCGCACAAGCTCGCACATGAGGTGTTGCTGATCGCTGACATCAAAACCACATTGCATTATACAGAACTGTTTCTGAATTTTTAAAAGTGGGCAAGTATCTGTTTAATTTTTAAAAGAAGGGTATACATTTAGACGGCATTGGAATCATATAGCTTAATAAGAAATCGCCCAAAGCCAATGATGAAACCACGGATTGGAAAATGCGTTTAAAGTCCGGTTCCGGAATATTATTTTGTGCGTTTCAGAACCACAAGGCGGGAGTCTGTGACACGTTGTATGATTGTACACTACAAGCGGCGGCTGTACCGTACTGTATTCGCAAAGTAACGTGTACATAAATTTTGCATAATATTGTGACTCAAGTCAACTCGAGTCATTACAACTCTGACCATGTGCCTATTCATAACATAGACATTGACAAAGTGGGAGACTAAACACGATGGAGCTTGGTAGCTCAGTTGGTAGAGCACTGGAACGGCAATGCGGAGGTCCCAGGTTCTATTCCCTCTTCCTTTCAATTTGTGGATTGTTGTATTTCCCTGTACAGGCCACAGATTATTGCATTGACTGGTCGCCCTGGATGCAGGCCTGCCCTGGTTCACTTCGTCTCCCATATCACCAATAGCACAAGCCTTCTCATATGCGGAGCAGTGCTGATTGTAAGTTATTGCTGTGTGAATGATTCACATGTTAACTAATGCATGCAAAATAGAGAAAAAAAGTAAATTTTAATGACTATCATCCCACCTTATATTTTTAGGCTATAGAAATGTCAAACCCCCAAAACAGACTTTTACCTACCCTACCACACAGTTGTTTTTTTTTATATGTAATAGAAAACACCACACTTTTTGTTCTTTGTTGGCGATATTATTTTAATATTTGTTTCAGTGTCCAATTCATTTCACAGAGCCTTTCAGAGATCTCTCAGGTTATTCTGGATGTTAAACACAGTTGTTTTTTATATGTAAGGCCAACAAAAAATATTTGGTCTCTGGTCAGACCAAAGTTCCGGAATTGACGCGGGGACGAGGCTTTTTTTTTTTCAAGCTTGGATTGTACAGATAAGCCAAGTTCGGGCAAGGACCATTAGTCGACTAGTGGTTGATTTGTGACGTACATGTACCTTACGCCTGCGCACTGATAGCAACGTGCGAACGTCTCTAGTCCAACGCTGGTCAAAATGTCATCGCAAAACTTCTGGATCCTGGCTCTCTGCTAGCGTTATGAATACGCACGGCTATTGGTTACCAGCAAAGCAACCAACCCCAGTAGGCTGGTTCCAAATAGTCGACTAGCGTAGTCAATCACCGTCGACTAGACAGAGTTCGGGCAAACGTTAGTTAACCATTGGTCAACTATAGTCCTTGTGCAAACTTGGCCCAAGGTGGGGTACTATTTTGCTTTTTTGGTGTCCTAATGTACATTGGTGTCCTCCATAATTTGCCTTGGTGCTCTCGATGGTGCTCTCTTGGTGCAATTTCCCATTCCTTGGTGCTCTTTGGTAAAAAAAAATTGAGGAGATGCGGCAATAGAGGGCGCTGTCGTAGCTACCGCGAAACATTTTGGAAAAAAAAAGATCGACGCGCGCACCGACCAGAGACCGACTTTTTTTTTTTGGCCTAATAGAAAACACCACACTTTTTGTTCTTGGTTGGCTTTATTATTTTGTTTCAGTGTCCTATTCATTTCAGGGAGCCTTTCAGAGATCTCTCAGGTTATTCTGGATGGCTGCATGTCGAAAGAAACACATGCTTTATGTCGAAGGGAAATAATGCTCTGTATAATTTTTGTTTGTGAACCCCCCCCCCCCCCCCCCCAGGCGTGACCCTACTCATCCCAACCTCATCTCCATGAAATCCAACTGGGAGAAATGCAAGCTGCGCGTCTTTGCCACCACGGGCAAGAAGGAGCAAATGGACAGGGAGAAGATGAACATGGCCAACATGCTCAGCAAGTTCCGCATCAACTGCTCGGACGTGGAGGTCATCCCGGACCTGAACAAGAAGCCCAAGGAGTAGAGCCTGAGACAGTTCAAGGAGCTGTCCAAACCCTGGATGCTGGATGAGGAAGCAGGGGAGACCACGGAGAAGTGTCCTTGGAAGATCAGCAAGGAGGAAGTCACTACGCTCAACGAGAAGGTAGAATCTCCTCCTTGCGCTCAAGCACCCCCCCCCCCCCTCCACAGAGAAAACCATAAACGAGGGCCTTTTGGGTGCCATCGTGGCTTATAAATGCTGGTACCAAATACACGATAACCAGCATGAGTGAACCAGTGAAGTGTCCCTCATTCCGGTTTCTGCTTGTTTTTACTATAAAGCGCCCTCTTTTGTCCATGCATGGAGGCAATACACTTAAAGCTTTCCCAGTACATGTATCCACTTTACGCTTAGTCCCTGGTTTGTGTGATTTTAAGTCCAGTCTTGCAACATCTGTTAATTGGGTCCAACCTTTGACATTCTGGAGGCTGATTTTCAATAATGAGATTGATCACTTTCAATCCATTTTTCCGTACAACTCTCAGTTCATTTGATTTGCCAAGTGCATGGAACTCGACTTTATTAAACATCAATAAATCACTCCATTTTTTCGCCTGAAATCTTTTTTTTTCTTTCAGACCAACAGACAGATGCGGATCCGTGAATTGCTTCGCCAACATTCCCAGGAGGCTCAGCTCATTGTCATGTAAGTACAAACCGGCGATAATGGCCACTTTCGGACAATTAACCTATCACGGTGGAATTGCGTCAACGCAGCTTGTAAAATATTGTCTAAACATGATATAGAAATGGACGCAGAACGCCAAAATCTGAGACAAACAAAAGTTAACGTACAAAATTCCATGAGCCGTTTCGCGGATACCGCCTGTCGTATGGCACGAACTACATGTTATCAAATAAAAGGAGTTCCAAGATGGCAGCTCGCTATGAACGAGTCTTACTCTATCAGTGTCTATGGATTGCGGTGAGTCCGTTCCAGTTATTTCCCTAAGATATTACATGGTGGCAGCGCTGGGTTTCTAATATACCCGCGGACATTTAGGGCATAGTATTCTAACGTCACTTGACTTTTTGGACACGTAACAAGGGCATTTTTACGTCGGAAATTCACCGCACGAGTGACGGTTCAGAACAATGGCACAAACTCCACAACAGGGGGCGCACTCTCGCGCACCGCTGATCGGTCGCCTCGACAAATATGATGAGGTGGAAGATATCCGTAACTATGTTGAGCGGCTGAACTTGTATTTTCAAGCAAATGACATTGCTCAGGAGAAAAAGACAGCTGTTCTGTTAAGTGCAGTCGGTCCAACTGTGTATAAAACTGCTAAAAGTCTTGCAGAGCCAACCCCAGTAACTGAGAAAACATACACAGAACTGTGTGAGTTGTTGATCGCCCACTATGGACCCAAACGCCTGGTTGTGTCAGAGCGTTTTCGCTTCTACAAAAGGGATCAACAGCCATCAGAGACCATTGCACAGTATGCCATGACACTTCAAAACTTGGCCAGTACATGTAAATTTGGCCAGTTTCTCGACGAGGCATTGCGAGACAGGCTTGTGTGTGGTCTGACCAGCAACAATATCCAGAAACATCTTCTCACCAAAGATGGTCTCACCTTCAAAGCAGCCGTGGACTTGGCCAAAACCCTTGAAACAGCTGTCAAGGACTTGCGTGAATTTAAGAACAGCCCTAATGCCGACACAGTATCAGTTCACGCACTACACCGAAACGCCAAGCAACCGTACAAGCAACCGTACAAGCCATCGTTCAAGCAGCCACCCCCACAGACACGTGCCAAACCTCAACAAGGCGGGAAGAGATGCAGTAGATGCGGCAGAGATCCAAGCCACCAATCCTGTCCAGCAAGTGGACAAAAGTGTAACTACTGCCAGAAACTTGGTCACTTCTCGGTAGTGTGTCGCGCTAAACCGAAGAAGTTGCATACAGTACAGCACGATCCAACTGACAGCGATGATGGGGACACTGAAACTAATGATTTCTTCGTTGGAACAGTGCATCACACCAGCCATGACATACTAAATGGTGATGTGTGGAGACAACCTATCAAAGTGCAGGGACAGATGGTGCAGTTCCTGCTAGATACAGGTTCGGAAGTCAACATCCTACCCGCTAACGTGTACAAATCACTGAAACTCAGTGATAAGACATTGCAGCCAACGACACTTCGCTTGCATGGCTACTTTGGTGGCAAGGCCAAACCTCTTGGACAAAAGAAACTGTCATGTGAAATGAAGAATCGTCAGTACTCGTTGGTGTTCCAGATTCTTGCCAGTGGTCAGCCTGTCATTGGCAAGACAGCATGTGAAGCACTTGGTCTGATACAGCGGGTGTACACCATGGTGAACCGAGACAACGTGTTTGAAGGCACGGGTTGTCTTGAAGGCCCACCGGTTAACATAAAGTTAACCGACTCCGCTACTCCATACTGTGTGACCGCTCCTCGCAGAATCCCCTTGCCCCTACTTCCCCAGTTGAAGCAAGAACTGGAAAAGATGGAAACCCAAGGTATCGTGAAGCGCATCACTGAGCCGACAGAGTGGTGTGCTCCAATCGTGATTGTACCCAAGAAGAACAACCAGATTCGACTCTGTGTAGATCTGCGACAACTGAATAAAGCTGTGCAGAGGGAGCGTTTCACTATCCCCAGCCTGGAAGAGGTTTTGGGAAAGATTGTTGGTGCACAAGTGTTCTCCTTACTCGATGCAAAGCACGGGTTTTGGCAGATACCCCTTGCTAGTGACAGTCAGAAATTGACAACCTTCATAACCCCATTTGGGCGTTTCTGTTTTACGCGACTCCCTTTCGGCATCACATCAGCGCCTGAGTTGTATCAGCGTATTATGTGTGACCTACTCGTCAATCTGGATGGGGTAGTTGTCTACATGGATGATATTCTCATCACCGGCCGAACACAGGCAGAGCACGATCAACGTGTGCATCGTGTAGTCCAAATCCTACAGAAAGCTGGCTTGCGGCTAAACAAAGAGAAATCAAAGTTTTCTCAAGAGACGGTTACCTTTCTGGGTCTACAGCTAGACAAGGATGGTATACATGCTGATCCTTCGAAGATCACAGCAATCGTTCAGATGCCCCCACCAACATCAAAGGATGAAGTCAAGAGGCTCATGGGCATGGTCAATTGGTTGTCCCGCTTCATCCCGAACGCAGCATCAGTTGCAGCCCCAATCACTGATCTCCTGAAAGACAACGTTGACTGGATGTGGGGAGCACAACAGAAGATTGCATTCCGACACCTCAAGACACTCCTCACCAGATCACCCACATTGGCCTTCTATGATCCCGCTAAACCTACCATGGTCAGCGCAGATGCCAGTAGCTATGGGCTGGGAGGATGCTTACTACAGCAGCACGAAGATGAGACATGGAAGCCAGTCGCTTACTGCTCCCGTACCCTGACTCCTGCTGAGAGAAAGTATGCCCAAATCGAGAAAGAGTTGTTGGCCAGCGTATGGGCATGCGAGAGATTTTATGTCTACATCAGAGGACTTCACGTGACCCTACAAACCGACCACAAACCACTGGTGTCTTTGATCAATTCAAAGGACCTCTGTGACGCACCACTGAGATGCCAGCGCTTACTGATGCGCCTCATGAAATTCCACTGTACAGCTGTCTACTCACCAGGCAAGACCCTAGTCGTTGCAGATACCCTGTCTAGAGCTCCAGTTCATACAGACCAGACATCTGATGACAGTGATGATCTCGCAGCAGAAATTGCAGCACACGTGAGCATGGTAACAAGCCAGTGGCCAGCCTCGGATGCCAAACTTGCAGAAATCACAGATGAGACAGTGCAAGACAACGTATTGTCCCTAGTATCGTCGTACGTGAAAGACGGCTGGCCGAAGTACATCAAGGACGTAGATCCTGATGTCAAGCGATACTGGGAAGAACAAGATAAGATAAGCCAGATCAACGGCATACTGACATATGGGGACCGCATCATCATCCCACAGAAGATGCAGCAGGAAATGCTGGAGAAACTCCATGAGGGTCACCATGGGGTCACCAAGAGCCGACTCCTTGCAAATCAAGCCATATGGTGGCCTGGAATCGGTACTGACATCGCGCAGCACATTCAACAATGCGAGTTTTGCAGAGAAAAGCAACCAGCACAGAAGGCGGAACCCCTGATGTCAACACCTTTACCCCAACGAGCATGGCAACGAATCGCGTGCGATCTTGCAGAGCTGAAAGGGAAGGTGTACTTAGTGATCGTTGACTACTACTCGAGGTGGATCGAGATTCATCACCTTGTGAAGACAACAGCCTTAGCAGTCATCAACTTCATGAAAACTACCTTTGCACGATATGGGATCCCTGAAGTTGTTGTATCAGATAACGGCCCACAATTCCTGGGAGAGTTTCAACAGTTTGCTAGAGAGTTTGGCTTCAACCACATCACCACCAGTCCACACTATCCCCAAGCAAATGGGCAGGCCGAAAAAGCTGTCCATGTGGCCAAGAGTATCCTGCGTCAACCAGATCCCATACGAGCTCTCATGACATACCGCGCGACCCCACTTCCAAGTCTTGGTGTCAGTCCGGCAAGTCTGATGATGGGCCGAGAGTTACGCACTACCCTACCAATGTTGCCCAAGAATCTCCTTCAGAAACCAATCAACCAGACAAAGTTGAAACAAGCAGACGCTGCATCCAAGTCCAAGGGAGAAGTCTACTTCAACCAGAAACATGGCGCCAAGGCATTGGATCAACTGGAAACAGGAGCCTGGGTGAAGATCAGAACAAAGGGCAAACTTGGTCCAGTCGGAGAGGTCCTCCGTAAAGCAGACACACCCCGTTCTTACATCGTGAGAGTGAATGGCGCAGAATATCGTCGGAACAGGCGGCATATTGTCCGGATGCCACAACCACCACCTGAGCCAGACTTCGAGATCCAACTGGAGGATCCAGTCCAACAAAACCCAGATGCTCAGCAACAGGGAGTGAGACAGTCTCAGCGAATGAGGAAACCACCAGCATGGCAGCAGGATTACGTCATGTACTAGAACACTGAACTCTCCTCACTCCATCACTCAATCACTCAATCACTCATTACTCGGTTAAAATCAATCAATCTTGCATTATCTCGCACTCATCTCTGAATTACAAATTCATTCTGATTTAATTCAAGAACTCTAGAAATCTGCTTGAACCAAGAACATTGGACTCTAGGAGCTGATTTGGAACACTCAACATTTTGCAGACACTTTCTAACATTGAACACCCAGACTCAATCATGTGCATTGTAAATGTGTTTTCTTAACCAGTTTATTTTGTTCTAGAAAAGGGGGAGATGTCGTATGGCACGAACTACATGTTATCAAATAAAAGGAGTTCCAAGATGGCAGCTCGCTATGAACGAGTCTTACTCTATCAGTGTCTATGGATTGCGGTGAGTCCGTTCCAGTTATTTCCCTAAGATATTACACCGCCATCTTTGAAAATACATCCTATCATTCTCAGCTACAGTTGCATGATGAGACGTATTTTCATTGTAATGCCCCCCCCCCCCGAAAAAAAAAATTATTCAAAGATGGCGGTATCAGCAAAAAGGCTTATAGAGTTGTCTAAGGGGCGTGGTTAACTCGCAAACGGCGGTAGGTCAATGGGTGGCACTTTTCATGGCGGCACAATTGCTGACGTTCACACGAAATACCAACAATTCTTTACAAGCCGCTGGCGAAACAAGAAACTTTTTAAACAAAACTAAGGACACTTGTGTAAAAACTACAAAGTTACTTGTGTAAAAAGGGCACTCTTTACAGAATACTCGGGGGGGGTGTTAACCGCTGGTGCAAAAAATGGGGGCGGGGTGAGCAATAGATCTAACAGTGCTTGTGACCCAGTCTGACTGAGCTACTGTGGTCACCTGATCAAAAGTGGTGATCTGATTGGCCAATGTGCACTGTTGATTGACATGCAGGAAGGGTCCATTATAACCTTTTCTTTGATTTCTTGCAGGAGTCTACCTATTCCCAGGAAGCGTACTTGTTCAGCTATCATGTACATGTGCTGGCTGGAGACATTATCCAAGGATATGCTGTCAGCAGGGATGCCAAATATGGCATCCAAATAAAAGTCAGTACAAAGAAATTCACTTGAAATGATAAAGTGACAAAGGACAGTTCCAACCAGTTGAAAGACCCTCCTCACTTGAATGGAATTTGTGCTTTGTTTTGATTGATTTCGTTAAGATTGTTTCTTTATCATCTAACGGGCTCACACTTTCACTGATGTTTTCAAAGTGAGTTTCTTGAATGCAATCAAGTAATGCTGATTAAGAACAATGAAAGTCTTCAAATAATTTGGAGTCTTTTAATCAAGAAACACTTGTCGTACTTTTACGGGCTTTAAAAACAACAGCCAACTCCACTTTTTTCATTACTGTGGGCACGTTTCTGTTTCAACTGAAAGTAATTAAAATCATTGTTTTTTTCATAACGAAGCCAAGCGAAAAAAAAGAGAGTATTTATCAACAATGGTGGTGCTTTTGGTAATCCTCAGAATGAGGTTTTATGCATACTGTTTTCATAACCAGTCAATTGTTACTTTTACATAATTCTCACATATTATAACGTTTAAAATAATGCAATCATTTAATAAAAACCAGTGTGTTCTAATTGCTGTGAATAGCATTGGAATATTTCAAACAATTGTTAATCCAAATGCCAAGCTTAAAGTCTATAAGAAAATCAGATTCAATCACTCGAGACTTTTTTCGTGACATGAAATAAAAATTGATACATGCATGGGATTGATTTAATTGACATTATCTGTGCTGGGCATACAGGGAACATAAGGCAAAGAAATAACATGTTACAGTAAACGCCCTAAAATTATCCAGGTAGGTAGCAAAATATTTTGTTTGTCTGTATGTTTTTTATACTTTGTTTGCCTCAATTAGGATACAGTTATTGTGTTTAATTAATCTGTTTTAAATACCCAATACTACAAATAAGTTGCATTTATTTTCGGGAAAAGAAACACGTTATTTTATATGTTGACCAAATGTGGCAATAAAAAAAAATGGCGGTCAGAAACATAGCCTAAAAAATCCAGGTTGGTCGAGATAAACACATTTTTTTTTTAGTTGTTAACATTTCTGGATACATATGGTGGCACTGCTTTTATATTGCAAATCTTTTGTTTCTAAAAAAAAAATGACTCAGCTTGCTTTGAAAAAATATTCCATCAAAAATACTTTTCGATAGGCCTACAATGGGTCCAAAAAAAAAAAATTGTTGTCATAAAACTTAACGCATACTTTTCACTATATCTCAATACTCATGCATAAAGCTAAGTATTTGTTTTGCAGAAAGTCAAAAAAAATTGGCAAATCCATTGTTGTATAAAGATCAGCGCATGCGCAATGCAAAACCATTAATCATAATATTTTGTGACATTGTCATTGAACATTATTTGTTTTAATTCATTGGTTATTGTTTCGGCAAAATGGAAAGCGATTGAACAAATCAGCAACACGATGCTCGTGTATCTTTATGTGTTGGATTGTGTTTATTCGGGGTAAAGGAGGAAGCCACTGAATGAGGAATAACTACACGCCCTACCCTGCATTGTGAGATACATCGTATCTCCACGCTGCAGAACCACCACCGCGCTCCCAGACACCTGCTCATTGTGACTTGAATCATTGCTAACGCCAGCGACAACCACGCCGCCGTTCTTCCGGAGATGAACGTACAGGTGGCTGCTGGAAGGATATTTGCACACAGAAAACATGAACACGTAGGTGCCCGGCACACCACACGTGAACGTGCCTGTCTCGAGATCGAAGCTGGTACCCGGCAGAAGCGTCTCGGTCGCCTGGAAGGGCAAACGGGTGGCGTCACTCGTAGAGGTATCCGAGTTGCTCGTCCTCACCACGGTGAATGCTACCCGCTGGTTGGAGTCGTCTGGTGCCTCCCCTGGCTCACCCTTTTGACCTTTGACACCAGTTTCCCCCGTTGGCCCTACAACACCTGGGACTCCTCTTGGACCAATTTTTCCGGGCTGGCCTATGCCTTCGTCCCCTTGAGGCCCAGCTGCTCCACGCTCACCCATAGGTCCACTCTGTCCAATATCACCCTTTTGACCTGGCTCGCCCTTTGACCCTGGTTGACCTAAGGACCCAGGCAGACCTGGTATGCCGGGAATTGCAGCCGGCCCCTGGCAGCACATCGGACACGCCTGAGACGCAGGACCATCACCGTCCGAGGCAACCGGCCCAGTAACGGAAGCTCGGAGGTTGACGGAGTTACCCAGAAGGAGGGCGATTGAAAGAACGGTTGCCACGAAGATCTTCATTCTGTATATAAACAAATCATTAAAGGGAATATACATCATTTGCTTTTGCTGTAATTTTCAGAAATGGATGGAATTGGGGGGTTGGAAATATAAAGCAAATATAGTTACACTGACTTTTTGGAGGTTTTGGGTTCGAAAATGCTATAAAAACCAAGAAAAACGATCATTTTCCTGTAGTCTGGTTCCCTGACTCCATATAAAAAGAAACAGAGCAGTTTACATACATTGGGGAATTGTAAGGTCACGGAACCAGTCTAGCTGGCTCGTACCCGTTCATAGGTTTGTAATCGATTGCAAACAAGTGCAATGGTCAATTGGGGCCAGTATTTGAAAAAAAAGCCAGTTGTTTCCAACGCTGATCGGCCGATCAGCGTTGGAAATTGATACAAAAATACCACTTTTCTTGAAAATGACAGTATTCCAGGTGCCATAATTTTACAGGATGCTTTAGACTGTCATTTACCAACATCCTATTAAGGTATTTCGCAAAAACTTGGTAGTTTTATTTTTCGATGTTTGCAAATGTTGTATATTCCCTTTAAACTGAAACAAATCAGGTGAGAATTTTTTTCAATAAAATAGTTTTTAAAATAGGGAAGAGTAGAGAAAAATATTGAGGTTTGATGAAAAGGAGAACTTAACTAGTCTAAAATTCATGACAATCCGCCGTCAGATTTGAAGGGAAAAAAAACCCCAAAAACATGAGATTGGAGGAATTATTGTTCGAAGAATGTTTTTTTGTTATATAACAGTGGCGTATGAGGGGTCAAGGGGCTAACATTTATGAAAAGCGTAGTTTATAAAACAGATTGAAATGGCAACCCACCGAATCGATTTTTTTTTAATTTCGCCAGTTAGGAAAGGTCACCAAAATGCATTCCGATAGGGCGAAGCGTTCCGGAGCTGTAGTATTTCTTTTTTTTTTGGGGGGGGTGGACTTGGGGGGGGGGGACGGATTACATCTTGCCCCTTCCCCGGTCCTGATAGAATCATTAATTAAACCTCACCACACCCACCTCGATGGTTCGTTCTTGAAGATCAGGTCCAAGAAGAGATCACAAGGAATTCAGTGTAGGCTGAAAAAAAAAAAACATACAAACGAATATACTGGTTGAGTTTACATTTTAATACTATTTTATTATCAATTCAGATAAATGAGTGCGATATTTTTTCTCATTGGGATCCATTGCCACCCCAAAACAGGAAAACTTACTCACTAATTAATAAGGGTCAAGTAATTAGAATAATAGGTTTTCCTGTCCGAATTCGTCAAGAAAAACAACCTGTTTTAACGTCGCATTGTTCAATTTCTCTCGAATTGACTAATTCTTGAAATAAGCATAATACACGTTATTATTGAAACGATTTTTTTTTAAATTAATATTTGTGAAGGCGTGTATCTTTTTTTGAGACACTAGTAACTCGGTCAAAAGTCTGTTGGCATTCTAAGCTTTTGTTGCACTTGTCCAGGCAAATGTACTTTTAACTCCAGTTCACTATGAGTTTTAAAGCAGAAATGAACTTTTTCATTCACTATGAAATATTATAGGGTTTCCCGCCCAATTTCATACTTTGCTAATAATAATAATAAAACATTTTTATTCAAAATCGCATAAAACATGCAGACCTTTTCACACCCGGTTCAATTTAGCGACAGCTTCAAATATTTTAGGGTATTCTTCATTCACGCGTGAAAAGTAAG